ATGATACTCTGTATATCATAATTTATATTGATAAAATGATATTTATTTTACCAATAGGTAAATGTCTAGTAGATTATACCTCAAAAAAGAATCCTAGAACTTTGAGTCCGTTGACTTTGTCCATTGCCTGAGACAGGTCGTCATAGTTTGTAGAATGGTGGACAATGTGCATCTACATGTACAATGGATAAGAACAAATTGCGTTAATTTATTACTCTATTTAAATTTTCTATATTTTGGCGCACTCGCAGATAAGAGTGGTCGGTTAAATTCCGCATAAAGTTGTATTAGAAAGGGGACACAGGTACTTGATGTTACTTATTTTTTTTTCTTTAAATAAAAAATGAAAGGGGGCACTTAGAAAAGTAAGAAATACAGTTGCTATAGTATCCTTTGACTAACTACGTCTTCAACATTTTGTTTTAGCTCTCATTTTACATGTTTAAGTATTATGTGTACAATAAAACTCCCTTCCTGCAAATATTAATCTGTCTTTTTTTTACTTTTATCATGTCAATTATTTTTCCTAGTTAAATTCCTGAATTAGCATAATTATTATATATTTCGCTGAATGCTTGCGTTAGAAATATTTCTGGTAGTTAAAAATGACTATCTTTCTTTTAAAAGTTTTGTATATTTTTATTCGTTATTTTAGAATTATTTATGTATTTATTTTTGTACATGTACCTCCATTGGATAACGCTGGTTGTCTAGCGCGTGCTCTGACCCCCTGTCGTCTGCCGCGCCCCAGTGGAAGTGGAACTGATCCACCTTAAAGTCATCAGACAGACCGCCACCTCGTAACACGGGCTGGGCACCCAATAGGTCCACCTTAACTGAATACAAAATATAACACTCTGTATAGGATAGGTTATAAATTGTAAAGTACCGTTTTTTATCATTATTTCTCTTGACGACGAACTATTATATAAATGCTGTGTTTGATTTGAATAAGAGTTGACATTGTGCAAGTATTTTCTTTGAATTACATATCAATACACATCATTTTTCTATATTATCATGTTTTAGGTTCATTTTATTGATATCTTATATATGTATATATATGGGGTATATTTCTGTAACATATAAGGGCTAATCAATAATAACCTGTATGTCCGTTGTTTGTCGGAATCTAACCTGTATGTCCGTTGTTTGTCGGAATCTAACCTGTATGTCCGTTGTTTGTCGGAATCTAACCTGTATGTCCGTTGTTAGTCGGAATCTAACCTGTATGTCCGTTGTTTGTCAGACTCATGTTGACGTTCTGGACCTGGTCATAACCTTTCATCTCAAACGGGGTCAGCTTCCGGTCCACGAACACCTTGTGAGTTTCTATGTGGACGGGGGACTGACTGTCACCTCCACACGTGGGGAACACGGAGTGCCAATGACTGGGGCCTGCCAGGTAAGAACAAGAATTGTGTCAAAAAATTGCACTTTTTATGTGACCTTTAAAAGGCTTCATCTGCCACCATAATATATTATGATGATAGATTCTTTTTCTGTCTAGTAAAGCATGTGACTGTCGACTTAATTTAAGTTCAGTTCAGTTTAGAAGTTAATGAAAGTCATGTGAAAGTATTTCTACAATTTGAAACATACTTTTCGTGATAATTAATGTTTTAGTTACACCTCTAAGATTCGTACAAAATATAATTAATACCGCCCTCAAATTTAAACAATTATGATAATTTTTATGAAGTATATTTTCCAAATTAATAATGAACAATATATATTTCAATTCAACATTCAGACATGGTAGGAAGGAAGATTTTCAATGATCTATTCCTGAAGGTGCTAGTGAAATAAATGTGTGTATTACCTACATATATGTAAAATTACTTTAATACGTGTCTTCTGTATTTCATATAAATCTCTCTCTCTCTCTCTCTCTCTCTCTCTCTCTCTCTCTCTCTCTCTCTCTCTCTCTCTCTCTCTCTCTTTATCCCCCCCGTACTCACCATGATCTCCCTCATAACTCCAATCGTTTCCTGAAAGAAAGTAAAAATTCTTTTAATTTAAACAGACACTTTTATTTAATCTTTCACAACTTAGTCAATAAATCACCAAGTCCATTTCCCCGTGTCAAACAACACCGGTTTTTACATCGAGACCTTGATTATTTTTAATAACCACAGAATTGATTCATTTCTGGTCTGTCTGTCAAACAGGTATAAAACTGTAAAATTATCTCCCAGACGTCAGGCCGTGAATCGGGCCATCTAAGTACACGTCTGTTATTTGTCTCTAAGTATACATCCAGAGATTTATTATAAAACATCACCACAGAACCTAAGTTTCTGTATACATGTAAGTCCGATTGTTAAAGTATTCAAAGAGTTAGATACAGTCTCAGGAGATATCCCTGTTTGTTGGTTTATGTTTTTATTCCCCCGTCAACGAAGTTTCGGAGGTATATAGTTTTTACCCTGTCCGTCCGTCCGTCTGTCTGTTTGTCCGCAAAAAACTTTAACCTTGCCCAAAACTTTTGACTGGGTGGGACTATGGCTTACGTATTTCTCAGATGTATTCCTTGTGACAAATCTTTTCTTTGGGTATCACTAAAATTGACCTCTTGAACTTGAGCTTGGAGTTTGACACACTTTCACGCCAAAATTCAAAACTTTGGTCATGACTTTTAATTTGAACGGTTGGTGCTGGGACTTTCATATTTTACATATGTATTATTTTAGAAGACCTTTCATTGGAAACCAACAACTTTGACCCGTTGACCTTGGAGTTTGACTTGTTTAAAAAAACTTTAACCTTGGCAATAACTTTTGAATGGTAAGGGCTAAAGCTTTCATACTTCACATATGTAATCCCTTTAACAAAACCTTTCCTTAAATACCCACAATTTTGACCCTTTGACCTCGAACTTTGTCCTACTTTTAGAAGACTTTAACATTGGCAGTAATTTTGAACGGTAAGGGCTAGGCTTTCATATGTTATCTTTGTGACAAGGTCTTTCTTTGAAACCAACAACCTTGACCCTTTGACCTTGACCCCGGACTTTGACTCACCTTTAAAAAAAACGTTAACCTTAACAATCATAATTTTTGAACAGGTTGTGCTAGGGTTAAAATTTCACATTTGTATTTCTTTTGAGAAGGCTTTACTCTGGGTCTCAACATGATTGATTTGCATTTGAGAAAATTTAACCTTCCCTATGTTGCTATTACGGAGGCATCAGTTTTTTTTATTTTATTTTTGTTTTGAGGGGTAGGATGGGACTGCCCGTATGTAGTACATGGATCAGTGCGCATGTGTGTGAGTGGTTGAGGGAAGGGCGTTTAGAAGTGTTTTTAATAATGTTTGGCAAATTTCACACTTGGCACCTTCTCCCTTCCTGTGTAGCATGGTAGAACATTCCTACGCCATTGTACACCCCCTCCTCCCAAAAATAGCGATCCTATCCCACCTCTTATTAAATATTTTTGTGTAGAGAAACTATTTCTATTTCATTTTAATGCCTTCCCCAACTTAAAAAGCCGATGCTACATACAAATGCTTTATCATAGATGTCTTAAATCCCTTTTGTCAATGTAGTTAGCCTTGTTTTGCTTCATTATATATAATAAATAGATTTTCCCATTTCAAAATAAATGGTTCTAAATATTAAATTCGATATGATCCGATTGATTTTTTAGTGTTAAAAATGTTTTTCATAAAAATGTCAAAATAAGAAGAATAAAAGAAATACATTTCTTGATATCAGAGGTCAACGTGCATTAAATTCCAAACTGCCAATTCAGCTTTAAAACAACCGTGCATTTACAGGAAAAAATTCAATCCTGGTTAAGAAGAAATCATCGATCGAAGTTTGAATGCTGGGATGGGGGGGGGGGGGGAGAAATAGAAGTAGATTTCTTACCATGGTGGTAGTGATGAAGATGAAGACCGCCTGCATTGACGATAACTGATAAACACGACACAATAAAAACTAAGTCTAGACACTGGTAGAAACCTGCACACAACTGCATTTTGAAGCTGAAAGTAATCCCCCAAAATTATCCTGTAACCTGTACCTCCCTCTGTAACGTGAAAAACGCAGCCTTGAACGCTAAAGACTAAACACCAAATATTGTGACGTTACGATTCGCAGGTAAAAGTATGCTGACAGTTAAGCTTTCTCCAAATAGATGACAAATAACGCAAAGAGAGGCTGAGATGGTCTAAAAATGCTGAATCTAAAAACAGGACATTTAGGTTTGTGGGCTTGAATTATAAGAACTATGCTAATTTGTTTAAATATAGTCACGTATACCACTTCAAATTAAAATTTCCACAAAGCATGAAAGAGTAAAAGCAGGCAAATCATTTAAATACAGATAACAAAACTAAAAACAGATCATAGTTCTTTATATTAATTAGTTGAGGTTAATTATATAAGAACAATCGATCATTAATTCAACAATGCACTTAATGTATGTCACTCGTCAACTCTTTAGAAAAGTTCAGACAAAACCTAATACTTCAAAATTATTTATTATAATTCAATTTTTATAACATATTTAATTTAAACAATATAAATCGCCCAACGTTCAACGAAAAAACTGCTCAAAAAGGCACAAAGAAACAAAATTTATGAGGGACTATTTCTTGTGGTGGAATGATATTTAGAAGATAATTCTGCAATTCTGCATTTATTAAATTTTATATCTTGGAACATTAGCCTCATATACTTTTACTCGGAGAATATTACCGTTATGATATGCTAGGAATATTATATATTGGTCTCAATAAATGAATTACGAACAAACGAACAAATTGTCAACCTTCCCTCAACTAACTTTTGAGAGAATTGAAGATATATACTAAAGAAGTCAAGATAAAATGTACACCGTTTTCTGCCAGAAAATCGCATATTTTTACCAATATTTCATCACTGACCGCAATTTTTTCTTTCATTATTTTAAACTACTCGATGTTTGCGACTGATCAGCACTTAAGTCGTAAAAAGTTTGATACAAGAAAATATTTAATTGCATATTTAGATTTTAGGTCAACTTAATTGTACCGTAGCTAAGCAAGATGTACACTAACCACCTATTTTCTCTGCGATTTTTAGTCATATTATATGAGTACTTTTCGAAAATATACTTCTTAAAAAATCCTTGATTTAACAAAGTTCACGAGTGACACACCTTAATTTTCAATATCAGAATACGCATCACCAACAAAAAATCACGAAAAATTGTAGGCAATTACTAAACAACAAAGGAAACTTATCTAAGAATTTCAAGACTTGAGCATCAGCGCAAAAATGTGTTACCTGTACTAACATGTGTTTTTACACCTTCTGTGACGTAATTACAAACAATATGTAGATTTGCTTCAGAAAAAAAAACAAGTTTAATAAAAACCTGTTAGTATAAAAACTATAGATTTAAGCGCGATATACATGTATTGAACTGAATATAAACTGTTTGTTTTCTTTGGAAACCATTAGGCTCTGTTCACTACTGTCAAGGTGAACAGGGTATATTTCAAACGAAAAAAAATGAACTCGATCGAACACGAATTTAAAAAATGAAATTGGGAAGGAGGGTTAAAAAATTATGTATGGTTAATGCTACATCAAAAGATGATTAATAATTAAGATTAATAAATGCAATTAAACCATACTTTCTCAACAATAATTGTCTCTCTATATAAAATGTCTTCTTTATGAATAACGTGAATTAGTCTTATCAAAATAGTGAAAACAATAAACACTACTGGAATTTGTTGAATTTTTTTAAAACTAATGTCTTTTGTGATGAAAAGATTGTCCATTTCCTCTCTAGACATAAAAACAATAAAAATACATGTAATTATTCACGTGATAATTTTTTGTCCTACTGACGTTTAACACGTAAAATATTTTAGACTAGGTCAAAAAACTTTATGCGATGTTAAACTTGAAATGTTTTCTCAATTCCGGTGGCGAATTTCGGACGCTCTAAGGAAGAAAAAAAAAAGAAAAATTAAATAAACTGAGAGATTCGGGTGTCATGTAGAAGTCTTCTACATGTACATATGGAGTCTAAATTAACCCACCCTACCCCCATGCTGCCCCGACCGAATCTGAAATCTTTAATCTGTCCATGATGTCTGAATATATTTACCGAAGTGTATACTGTTTTTGATCTAGTAAACTGTTTAGAGAACATAAATGTCTCATTACAATTTTTGCTAAAGATTACTTCTGTCTGTGGTATGTTCTACATTTTTGAATTCATTGCGGCCATTAACCCTTTCGTCCTCATTAAAATAAAAAAAAACAACTTTTTTTTTAAATTTATAATTATTTCGTTTTTTAATAAGGTGCATTTGCAGAGTTCTGCAACAACAACAAAGATATCGCAGATGTAATCTTTTGCCTTGTGACCTGATGAATTCCGTTATGTGATACTTTCTCCGGCAGGCTACATTTATAACTAACGAAATGAGTCTGTATGATTTAATTAGACATTTATTAACATGGAATTGTGAACAAATGACAATATTTCTAAACTTTATGGATATTTCCTTAGAATAAATGCAAAAGCATTCACGTTTTTTTGAAATGTGAGAAAAGAAATTAAAAAATGAGAAAGAAACTTAATTGTAGTAAAGTAAGGAATGCGCTTAATCTCACGACGTATTATCATGTTAAATATAAAATCAGATTCCGGTGAAATTAGGAAAAGGTTGAATTTTATATATTGCAGACAAAATCTGCTTCAGCATGTTTATAAAGTAATATAATAAAAACCTTTAAAACACTTTTCGAAATATTTCAACCGTGTTAATTGCTATGTATATAAAGTAATATATTTTTCTATAATCATATTGATTTAATTTCTGAAGCTTAAGAAAAGTGTATAAAATATACCATAAATATAAACACGAAAATCTTACCAACACCAGCGGTCGTGGAGTCCAAGTTCCAACCGACACACAGAGTTATCAATAGAAAGTGCATATTGACAGATTCAAGATCAAACATATATATTTTATAAAACCGGTCCCAGACCTTTTTTATATGGACAGAGCAGATGGACAGTTGATTCGGATCTCCAAACAGACGGGAGAACAGGTCACCTACGTCATTTAACCAGACATAATCAAACGCTAAATCGCTAGATCAGAAAACCGATAATTCAAGTACAAAAAAGTCGAGGAAAGTCAAAGATAGTTATAATTTGATTGATATGTGGTAATAAGTTGGTTAAATAAACAATAGTTGATTTCAGTGTAAGAGTACACATATATTTTTTTTTACCAAATCATGGTCTCTTCATAGGCATAAGATAGATACAAGTATCTCTACATATTTAAAAAAAAAAAAGAATACATTTTTCATTTTCGTAAATGCAGCAGACTATTGTAAATACTCCATTAAATAATTCCAATCAAAATCTTTTTCTTTCATTCCTTCCTTATTTTTTTGGAAGAGAAACGTACATAAAAAACAATTGATCTTTATTCCGATGACTAATTTTGACGATCTTTAAATTAAAATATAATGAGAGAAAAGGAAGTAAAATTATTAAAATGCAGTTTGGCCATTTATATTTCTAGCACAATGAATAACCGAATAGAAATTAAGGTGGCCCTGCCTGACAAAGAAAGTGAATACTTTAAAATTCACCAACTGTCTGATAAGAGAGACAACTCAATATGGTAAATTCGCTTAATTATTATGAAGTTAAAAGGTTATGTCTAAACACACCCTACAAGGAGAAATAAGTCATTTTTATGATGAAATGTGTATCTTTTGGAAAATCAAAAGCCTTTAAAGTGCTCTTTTCTTGCAGGCATGAATGACATTGTAAAACAGGACCACCCAGCTGTATGCATTTGTATTACCCACATACATCATTTTACAGAAAAATGCTCCAGCCAGGACAATTCCAATGTATATGAATTTCATGAAAAGTACATCAAAATCAGTAATTATTTAAGTTTCAAAATCTTTTTAGATAAAAAAAAAAGTTTAACAGCTTAAGAGATATAGGGTAAAAGGGATACATGTAGAATAAATTATAAACGAAAACAAAAAATCAAATCAAACCTGCCGCTGTGGAATACAGTGGGAGACACTGAAGCGCCACAATGAACAGAGTCCTGGTAACAGACATATTTCTGAGCGTCCTACCGCGGCTAATTCTGATCTGATCTCGGGGGAGAGGTACCCGGCCCTATATAGACCGAGCTAAATATAGAGATAATATTTAAATTCATACTTTGCTGCTGGCAAAAGTATCAGTTATTGGAGAATCATTGGTGTAGCTGACCTTCTACTCCAGTGACCTTAGGATGACACACTAGTAAAGTGTACCTGGTAGATGGACAAAAACCAAAGGTATTTCAATTTTTCAAATATTTATAAGCACAATGTATAAATACATACACATTTCGAGTTGTAAGAAAATTTATTAAACTTGGTCAAAAAAGATACGAAGAACCATAAAACTTCAAAGACAGCACGACATGCACAAATATTCTATAATTCACCTTCACTTGTTTTCCCCGCCTATTAAGAACAAAGAGCTCCCCTTTTGTTTGAGAAGAACTTAACTTGCGACACATTATGTCATTTTTATTTTTTCAGAAGTTTGCCTGGTCCAAACAACATTCTTCAGAAAAAAATTATTACCCTTTTAAAATTTATATAACTTTGAGTGGACGATTGATGTAATGTAAAGCAGAAGAAATATTTCTGACTTGTTGAAAATCGAAAAATATTTACATTTGCAGATATTCAGCAAAATCTTTTTGAAAACGTAATGATAACTAAGTTTAAAACAATTGTAAATTGTAGTGTCTGAAAAATTAAAAATCATTATTCATGACACATTAAATCGATTGAAATCAATTCAAATTAAATAGGTCTATAGCAGCTACCAACCAGTAATTACACAAGACAGCAGTGGGTGGGGTTATTCATTTCATTTGAAAATCAACCACAACGAAGTATCACATGCATCTAAAGCAGCTGATGCACATTATTAAC